AATGTCCGCATTAGTATGATATGCTATAAAAGTTATGATATTTGTGTAAAATATTGTAAGTTATAAGAATATTTATTATATTAGGTAGATAGTATAGTTGTTAAATTAGAAAATAGTATTCTTGTTTTGGGATAGACAAAAATAAAAAATAATAATCCCTCTGTCTCAGATACCATGTCCACGTTGCGTTTCTGTCCGTCTCACATACCATGTCACTTTCCCTTTTTGGAAAATGATTACACACTTTAATCTCATTTTAAATTTTTTAATTTTATTTTTTTAATTTTAATTAAACTAATTAGTTATCTTAATCTTAATTTATAATTATTTATATTATAGGATAATTATTTTCAATAATATATTTTTAATTATCTACTAATTACACCCCTCTTAAAATACCGTATTTACAGTGTAGCAGACACGGTATCTGAGACGGAGGGAGTATGATTCTTATCACATCGAGGGAGTATGTGTTTTTTTTTTTTTTTTTAATCAAACTTTAGAAAAATTATTCTCCCTCCTTATCACTTTCAAGGTTCTTTGAACTATTGAAAATTTTAAAATAATAATATTTTATGTATAAGAAGTTTTTTATACTTTTATTTTTAAATTTATGTATAAAGTTATTATATGTTTGTAATTTAGGTAAAATATAAGGCTATTTTAGAACTATTTATGATTATTTTTACTTAAATAAAATAATCTAGAGTAGAACAGACGAAAATAGTAAAAATAGTATTTTAAGTTAAAATTGAAGAAATAATATTCACCAAAATATTTTATCCCAAAACATCACATCATAAAAATCTATTTACATAATATCATACAACTATTCAAATTTAAAATTGTTTATATTAAAATCCAAATTCAAAAACCAAAACACAAAATGAATATATATAAATATAAATTTGGGAGTGTATATAATATATAGTGACTAGTGAGGTACATATATACTTAAAAATGAAATAAATATTTTATATTTAGATAATTAAAAATAACAAAATGTATACTTACAAACTCGACCAATTAATAAGTATTTAAAAATTGATACTTTAATAAATATATTTAATATACATATTATTATTTTATAAAAACAATGAGTTAATTGATGATAGAAATAAATGAGATATATATATATATATTTAGTACAAATTGGAATCATGCATTAAAAGATAGAAATGAAAGTTCTTTCTGATTTATTATTATTATTATTATTATTTTAATAATCTAATTTTATTTGGAGAAAAACATCGTTGTTCGCTTATATTTTGGTGTATTATGAATTGATGTGATTATTGAATAGTTGTAATATGGTGTTTATAATAAAAAATAATTTTTGAATGTAACATTTTCGCAGGTAAAATTATAACACTGAATGCGACAAACAGATTAAAAAAAATAAATTTTTTATTTAAAATGTGATACAAATAAAAAAAATATATACTCCGTCCATCTTGTGCAAGATTGTCGTTTACTTTTTGTACCTATATTTTTAAATATTAGTATTATAATGGATTGTAGTAAAAACAGATAAAAATATCCCTATCATTATTGTGTAATATAAAAATAATAATATTTGTTTAATATAGTGTAAATTGAAAGCGGAGAGAATATATATAGTTGGAAGTATTTTTTAAAATTAAATTATAAATTAAAGTGAAAAAATCTTAATAAAAATAGTGGTATTTGTTATAAATAAATATTAAAAAAAACAAATAATATTAATTATTTCGAATTTAGTAATATAGAAAATATAACAGATATTTGGCGAACAAAATAAGAACATAAAATATCCCTCTGTCTCATATATATATATCAATTTGCTTTTTGCACGGAGTTTTAGAAGTATTAGTATTATATCGGAATAAAAGTAGAAATAAAGGTTAAAAAAAGACTAAATTAACCCTGTTAGTATTGTATGACATAAATGTAATAAAGTTTGTGTAATATATTTGTTGGGATGCAAACCCAAGTCCCACGTCAGAAATTGTGAAGAAAATTCCACATTTTATAAGTCCTAAGTGAACTCCACTGGGATGAAGCCTTTTCGAGAATATTAAAAACAAATCCGTACAGACTGAGTCCAAAGCGGACAATATCATATCAGCAGGGACGGAACTACACTAGGGCTTGGGGGTCAATTGACCCACAACCCAATTTTTTTCTGATTTTTTTTAGTATTAAAAATATTAATTTTTATGTATTTATATACAATTTATCCCCCAAAATTATCTAAATTCATATATAATTCTGTCATTATTATTTATTTAAATTTGTTAGCTAAATATTAAATAAATTATAATATTTTGCCTCCCGGGATTTAGATGCTAGTTTCGTCAGTGCATACCAGTGTTGAGTTGACCGAATTAAAATAAAAAAAAGGATAAATTATTAAGGGACGAAAGAAGTATAATAAATGTATTATTCAATAAATATTAGATAGAAAACAAATGGGTGAAAACACGTAAACAAACAAGGCAATTTTTTTTTTTTAAAACAAAATATGTATACATACACACATAAATATTTAATATAAAATATCAAAATTATAATAAAATAAAAGTAAAAATAAAACTAAATTCTAGAAGACAACGCCGGTAAAAAAAGTCGTATCCTCCTAGTCATGACCTACCAACGTCATCAATTTGGTTCCCAAATTTGGATATTAATTAAATAATTAATGATTAACTTGCAATTATTTAAGTTGGAATAAAAAATTAGCCACTAATAATTCCAAAACCTTGCTTAAAACGGCAGCAGCAGATTGATAGTGGGGCCCATTGAACCCACTGCATGGTCGACATCTGGGCCGTCGGATCACCGCCAGCTGCTGCCACCGAAAATTGTTGGACGGTTGAGATTTATTGTTGATTTGTGAAAAGTCCGTTTCTCGATGAATTTTGCCCACTCCTTGCATCCAAGGGTTTTAGTTGCTATCGTTATTAATTTTATGTTTTTATTAGTTTATAATAATTACTCCCTCCAAGATATCGTTTCTGTTAGAATGTAGACACGATATTTTAGAAGGGGTATAATTAGTAAATAATTAAAAATATATTAGTGAAAATAATTATTTTATAATATAAATAATTATAAATTAAGATTAAGATAACTATTTAGTTTAATTATAATTAAAAAAAGTAAAATTTAAACATTTAAAATAAGATTAAAGTGTGTAATCATTTTTCAAAAAAAAAAAAGTGACATGGTATGATATGTGGGATGGACAAAAATGACAACGTGAACATGATATTTGGAATAAAAGAAGTACTATTTTCTGCTATATATATTATGTTTTTTAAATGGTTACATTTTTATAATAAATAATTTTATTTTTTGAATGATTTCATAATTTTTGTTTTAATAAATAATAATAAATTTATTAATATTTTTTTACTTATTAAGTTACTTATTATTATTTTTAAATAAAATAATTTTTCTTATAATATTATCACTTTATTTTTTAAATCTCGTATTTTTATATTAAAATATTTCATTTGTCCTGTATTTATATATTTATTTCCTTTTTGCACGAATTTTTTAAAATATTAGTATTTTATTAGCATAAAATAGAAATAAAGATAAAAATACTAAATTAACTATATTAGTATTACATGATATAATGGTAATAGCATTTGTGTAATATATTGTAAATTGGAAAGATATTTGTATTGTTAGGTAGATACTACAATTACTTAAAAAAAAAAAAATTGATATTTTGTTACGAGATAAAACAAAATGAAAAAATTGGATAATTTATTAAGAGACGGAGGAAGTATTATTATTTTTTATTATTCGTGTCCAAATAAAATAATATATTAGCTCTGATTTACGGCATTGTTCTTTCAATTTTTCACATATTTTTTAAAAAATATTAATATATCATATGAATTTATAATTTTTATATTCTCAATACAATTCTTCACACTTCACATAAAAAAAAATATAAATTCAAATTATCTTACTAAACAAACAGACCCTTCTTCTGATTTTTTTTTCTTTTCTTTTATGCTTAATAATATATATTTTTTTTTTTAAAAAAAATTATTGAATTATACAAAAAATTGAGTAATCTTACTATTCAATATTATTGTTTTTTTAAAAGTCAAGTATTTAACAATCAAAATGTTCATTAAATTGGAAGATTCTTATTTTTATTCTTATTTTAACAATTGGAGGTGTATAATTAATAGATAATTTAAAATGTATTAGTGAAAATAATTATTTTATAATATAAATAATTATAAATTAAAATTAAGATAACTAATTAATTTTATTAAAATTAAAAAAATAAATTAAAAAACTTAATATGAGAATAAAGTGGATAATCATTTTTCAAAAAATAAAAGTGACATAGAATGTGAGACTAACAGCAACGGCAATATGAACATTGTATGTGAGACGGAGCGAATATTATTCGCAATATTTTCAAAACAGTTTTTTTTTTTTTAATTTTATTAAATCACTTAAATCTATTTTTAATTTATTTTTACAAAAAAAGAAAAAAAACTATACTAATGGGATAAATTGGGACAATGATAGTCGAAGTCGTCACATGTTCGAATAAAAGGAAGGAAGCCCAATCGAAAGATTTTGACACTTTCCAAGAAATACAATGCAAATTGGATTCAAATTTCGAAAAAGTCGTGGACGCGACATCTAGTTCATTTTCATTTTTTAATTAATTTATTTATATATATATATATTATTTAATTTATAATTGATTGGGTAAACTTGGCCACTAGTGGACAATCATTGAAGCTGTATTATATAAAAAATATGGCTATTTACCTAATTTGCTTTAGTTCTCAAAATACACGACTCTTTCGAAGCCGAACGAGCGCTTTTGGCATTGACTGACTGAATGACCACGCGTCAACGGAACCTTACTGATTAATTAAAATCGCGTTTTCAAATTTGTAAAAGCGCGCTTTTGGGGCGGTCCAATGGGAACGGTTCTTCGCCTCCGTTTTTTCGCCTATAAATACGGCGGCCTCTTCTCCAGAAACTTCACTCAACAGCAACCCTAAGGAAGCACAGAACCAGGGGAAGGGAAGACATTTTCGCCGCTATTGTCGTATCAGCCGCTGTAGAAGAACGTCAATTCTTCTGCAGCAGCTTCCTGCTCTTGGTTCTGATCACGGTTGCTCGATCGATTTTCCGAAGGTGAACAATGGCTCGCTCGTTCTCCAACGCTAAGGCGGTTTCTGCTTTCGTCGCCAACGAGATCTCGAGGTACGAACTGTGTTCGATTCGTATGAAATCGTTTCCGAGATTTTGTTGCGATTAGTTTCGGTTTTATGCTTTTTGTGTAATGTTCGTGGTGTTGTGAGGTTGATTTTGATGTTGTTGTGTGTTTCCGGATTTGTGGATGCAGAAGAGGATATGCTGCGGCGTCGAACGGCGTCGTTTCGAGCAGCGTGAGGCGAGCAGCGCCAAACGTGATGTTGAAGAAAGGATCCGATGAATCCGGGAAGACCGCGTGGGTGCCTGACCCAGAGACCGGATACTACCGGCCGGAGAACGCGAAGAAGGTCGCTCAGGACCCTGTGGAGCTCCGCGAGGCGCTCATCTTCAACAAAAGTGGCGGGCAGTGAGTAAATCCAAGTATGTATGGGTATGGGATTCTCTATCTGTCCGGTGGTCCGGACGCCGTCGGATCTCGCTTGCCTGCTATCTACCTCGGAAATCCTTCCATTATCTATCCTCGTCTTGCTGCCTGGCTGAAATCTCCATTAAAATTTATGCTGAGTTTTCAATATTCTATCTATATCTATATCTATACAGATATACACGATCCTTATCGTTATCGTTGTTCTTATCATCATCTCGTCTGCAGCAATAATAAAATAAAAATACTCTTATTTAGTTCACAATTTCAACAGATCCTGTAATGATTGAATTTTATTCGTAAGAACATATGAAAACTGAAATGGTAAGGGCCGGCGCAGTGCGATGTGTTGTTCTTAGGTTTCGAAAAGACAGTAGTGTCGTCGGTCACACGTTTAATTAACTTGTCAATTGTCTGTTTGCACCCCACCAGTTGTTGTCTTTGGACAGGAATACAAATTAAGGTATAATTCACAATCACAACAGATTATTATCGTGTAAGAAGTTAGGCCTCAATTCATCACACTTGGCCTAAAATATGAAAATATCAATTGTGCGTTCCCTTTTTATCTCCTCCCATTTATACGACTCCTCGATACAATAAATGGCCGCACATACATTGATTGCAGAGGGCGAAACTTTTCTCTTTTGTCTACCCTGCGTAGCTGCTGAGTTTTTTAAGTTAAAAATTATTTATTTAATTTTTACTTTATTTTCCTAAATCAAATTATTTTTATCATCTTTGTGCATCTAATTTCAAATTATTTTTGTAAAAATAGTTATATAATAAAATCAAAATATTGTTAATTTTTTATTTAAATTATAACCATACAATTATATTTATAATTACTTAATATAAGAGTAAATATAATTTTTTAATTTACTACAAACGTCCTTTTAAAAGGGACGGATCATGGATGGAGTATTTGATTTATAATATAATATATATACTTTGTCCGGTTTATAAGGGTTATTTTTAATGTACTTAGTACTAAAAATATTTTTATATGTGTATAATTTTTTATATAAATATTATTTTACAAGACACTAATATTATTTTTGCATTTTTTTTATTTATACTATATTTTAATATAATAATTTATATTCAAATATCAAACACAAATTAAATATAGCTTTTAAAACTGGAGGTATTATTTATTTTGTTTCAATTCGAAGTATCATTTTATTATTTTTGTCAATTTCATTCAAAATATTTTTTTCAAAAAAGTAGTCATACATTAATACTAAAATATCATTTGGCTTTTATTTAGATTATAAATATACACCATTATACATACAATTATATATATAATTAAATTTAAAAAATATTAAAACATATTACACATTTCTACTCATTAATAAAATACTATTATTTTTTGATTTATTAGAAAATCTCAAAATACCCTTATATCATATGATTATTATTTTGTAAAGAATAAATTTTTATATAAATAAAAATGTATATAATATTTATTTATAATTAAAATATATTAGTTTTATAAATAAATAGGGAGTTTATTTAGTGAAGAGAGATAGAAAAAAAAATTAAATAAATTTTGAGTGAATCTTATATAATATAATAATTTTTTTAAAAAAATTTAAAGCATATTGGCAACCGGTTACGAAATGTCAACCAAACTAACCCTTAGTCATGAGAAGACCTGGCATTTTTATTATTATTATTATTATTATTTTCACGCACAAATACATGGGACTGTCGGACTAACTCTATTTATTTGAGGTTAAATTCAATTATTTGATATCAATTATAAGTCGGGTACTAAATATTTTTAATTGCATCGGACCAGAGTCTACGAAGCATGGACTCGAATCTAGATTGGACTATATTAATATATTAATAATATATCAATAATATCTAAAAAAAATAATTTTTAATTATATAATTAATTTAGTTTTATGTACTAATTTGTTAAGATTTTATTATAATATTTTTTAATAAAATATATGATATATACATATGTTATTTGTATATATTTGGGGCCAAAAACACATCAACGAGAAGGAGGCTCAAAAACAAAAGTGGTGTCAGAGCTTATTGGCCACGGAGCCGCTCAATAGTAATGGAACTTCAAGCTTCGGAGCCAAAGATTGTTGCCTCCACAGAGCCGAATGCAACAGTTTCCATTGGATTGTGGTGCTTCCACAGGACCGAAAACAGCAGCTTCCATGGACCTTAGGGCAACAACTTCTTGGACTATGGCAACTCCGTCACGGAATAATGTTTCCATAAAACCATAAAGTGTTGTCTCCAATGGATTGAAAACAACTACCTCCATTGGATTAGAAGCAACAACTTCCACTTATGATGGGATAACTACTTCCGTTGGCCCTGGATTAATAATTTCGTACTTAACATTAGTGGAGGACCTATGCACTTTCATACTTTATTAAAAAAAGCTCTGTGGAACAAGCCAACAAGAGGAAAACCGAAAATTCCTTTTAACTCAAGGCTGTTGGGGATACATCCCTGTGGACCGGTAGGAGTACGATGGAAACAAGTCTGAGTAAGCGGCAGATCTGGTCCAAAGGCAATGGAAGAAGTTCAGAGCAAGTGGAACCCGGTCCAAAGGCAATGGAAGCGGTTGGGAGCTGATGGAAGGAGATTATCGGGTGGTTAGGAGCCGATGGAAGGAGGTTACCAGGGAGGTTACCAAAGTGGTGGAGGAATAAGTGGAACTGCCCCTTTTAGTCGGAAGAGACGGTTATTCTATTTTAGGATTAAAATTAGAAAAAAACACAACATATACAAGCACAAGAAGATCAACTCGTTATTTTTCTCTATTTTCTTTTCATGTTCTAGTTTCATTTTTCGGCATTTTAATTCGAATTACATGGCTTTATATTTCTAGCATATTTTTATCCAAGTTCTAGTAGATGGTTTAAATCCATCGAAATCGGTCGTTTAGGCTCGAAGCCTTGTGTAAGACCGAAGCTGTGCCGGCTCCATCGTAGGAGCCGCCTACAATCGGATGACGGACATGCTATTTGGAGTACTTCCGGAACCCACACCGACAAATCGACGAACATTTTTGAAACCCCCGAATTTTAGAATCCAACAATATTATTCGTGTTGTTCATAATAAGTAGATGCCAAAAAGAAGAATATCGCTACTTGATTATAGCCAATTGAAAGACCGCTCCCTGTCTGCATTAGGTAATTTGGAATAAGTCTCGATATTTGAATATTTCAAAAATGTAGTGTAGTTTAAACATAAGGCTGATGAAAAGAAAACATGTCGGATTCAACAGAAAATTCAAGAGATGGACTAAATGCATTTGCTCTATGAAAGTTGTCATACTCATTAAATAATTCGAATAATTATTGCCAATGGGATGACACAATTAGCCACATTTTCACATTTTTGCTTAATTGATTTGATCCAACTTGAGGCTGGTTATTTTTCACTAAATAAGTAGAAATAGGGATGCCAACGGGTCGGGTCCAGCCGGACCTGAGACACGACCCGAATATATATGGTGGGTGTTCGAAATTTTGGGGAAAATAATGAAATTGTCTTATTGATCATTAAAATAAGAAGCCTGTATATATAGGCAATAGAAAACAGACTCGATAGACTCAAATCTACGTAATCTAATCTATGAATAAGATCAAATCTAGATATAAATCCGCTAAATTTAAAATTGAATATCTAAAATATCTGAACAGTGGGATTCGAGACCCGAACTGGATCCGATTGTACATGAACCCGACCCGAACAAGACATATTGGACCCAACAGACCCGAATTTTTTTTTTAATTCTTAAAATTTAACTTAAAATTGGATCGGAATCCGAATCCGACATATATTAAAATTTATAAATTTCATTCAAAAAATATTATAATAAAATAATAAATAAATAAATAAAACTAAAAATATATTTTTAATATAATTTATATTATTAAAAAATAATGTTTTTCATATATATAATTTATATTCGTTGGTCCCCGGGTCCGGATAGAGGCCACAATTGAACCCGATATCTGAATAATTAGACTCGATCCGAAATAAATGAATCGGTCCAAGTCGGGTCTCGGGGTCTACCTGAACCCATCACCATTCCTTAAGTACAAAAGACAATAAGCATTTGTTATATTTGGGAGATCTAATAGTAAAACAATCTCTGTAAATCGCTGCATCCCTTAAATAAAGAACTACACAGTAACAAACAAAAAATTTGTTGATGATGGTGTAACTCCACACCATTATCTAAGCCTCATATTATTGAATTTGAGCCAAATTTGGATTAATGTACTTATGAGTTATTCAAATTTTTATTATTATTATTATTATTATTATTATTATTATTATTATTTTCACGAATCAAATTAAAGACCATAGAGTTTGTTATGTCATATTTCAATTTGATCTGTCAAACATCTTGCATTGTCTTTTATCAGCTAAAAGGATCTGTTCGACTAACCACTAGAATGGTTTGGGATATGTCCATCCCACCGTAACATTAAGGGTGTGTTTGTTTGGGGGTTTGGATTTTGAGTTGGAATTTGAATAGTAAAAATTTTGAATTTGAATAGCTGTATGATGTTATATAAATATGTGTTGATGTGATGTTTTAAATGTAAAATTGATTTTTAGTATAATATAAAAAATAAAAAATAAGTATTTAATTTGATATTTTTAGAGAAAAAAAAAAAAAGATGAATAGTGAAAATCTAATCCGATCCCCCAAACAAACACACCATTTGAAAAATTTTTTGACACAAGACACAAGAGCTTCCCATAATTGGTCCATTTCAGTCAACCAGACACCATCTAACACATTTAAATTTAAGTCTTATGCGAGTTTATTAGGAGTCGTGTAATTCTTTTGATATTATTTAATTTGGGTTTATTCAAAATATCTCAAACTATATATAAAATTAGATATTAATTTATAATTAATTATTATTATTATTATTATTTATGTATAACTTTAGTTGTTCATTTTTCTTCACAAAAGCAATACACCTTAAGGTAATTAAACACTAAACAACCGTAAAATCCAACTTTTATACTAAACTTTTGTATATATTTTTTTATTTGTTTGTCAGACAACTATATTATATATATATATATATTTTTAATGACGTGAAATCTGTAGATGTTACTCGAAAATGTATTGGGTGAACCTCAACGGAATTTAATATCCTGGAAACTATATTCTATATATTTTTAAATGAATGATAATGTATATACATATATTCCTTATATATATATATATGCATAAAAGTGAATATTTAATTATATGAAATATACATTTAATTGAAAATTAATTAAGTTGACAAATAGAAATATAAAATTTAACTACAATTACTTGGAAATACAATTAAATTTATTATATTTATAAATATATTATTAAATCATAATAAATGAATATGCAATTTAATTAGGTTACGGACTTTGACCCAACAATTAACAAATGTCACGTGCTCCTTCCGTCTCAAACAAGGTGCAACATTTACTTTTGGCATGAGTTTTTAGGTGGGTAGTATTAAGTAGGATAATTTAGAAATTATGTGACATGACGAAGAGAGAAATATATATTTTATTTTTTTATTTGGATGATGTGAGAGGATAAAGTGTGAGGTAGAGATTAAATATAATTAATTATTTTTTATTTTAAAAATATTGCAGAGTGTTTGTAACATACCAAAAAAAAAAATGTTGCAGGGTGTGACTGATGAAGTATTATTGTAGATTTGATGAGATAGCATAAGTAAAATTTATTTGGACAGTCTCACCTATGTTTGTGTAGTAACACTCAAATTATAGCTATGCAAAATTTTGAATTTATTATTTTATTTTTTTTTAGTTGAAAATATGGTACTAATAAATATTTCTTCCGTTATGGAACTAAATATCAATTTGTTTTTTACATGTAGTTTTAGAAATATTAGTATTATATTGGAATATAATAGGAATAAAGTAGAAATGACTAAAATAACCTTATTAGTATGTGTGATATAAATGTAATGACATTTGTGTAATATATTATAAATTGTAAGGGTATTTGTAATATTAAGTATATAGTACAGTTACTAAAAAAAAATAAATACGGACTAAAATGAAAAAATGAATACTTTATTATGGGACGGATGGAGTATTGTTGAATAACTTTTTTTTTAATATAGTTTAAATAAAGCCGGCAAATTTGGGCCGACCATATCCGGCACCAGTTTAACCGTACTGAGTAGGCTCCACACAATTTCACCTGCCTGGGCCTCAAGCCTGGTTTCAAACCGCGCCAGCTCAGCAATTTATTTTACTTATTTATTTTTTTCCCTAATTTTAAAAGATTTATTTAATTATTTATTTTTAAATTCATGAAAAACGATAGGGAGGTAATGAACTTTACAATCAAACACCAGAAATGCAACCATGGATTTAATTCGATTCGACTAACAAAAAAACTAAACTTTAATTTCCAATAACTTTTGGATCATAAATTTATAATTGAAGAAGTGGAAAACGCCCAAATCCTGAGCTTCTATGGTTACACTTAAATCCACATCCACATTGAGGGCTCTCGTCGAAACTGCTGACCGGAAAACCCGCCGCCGCGACCCCCACCGAGAATTGCAGCTCGCCGCCGCCGTCGCCGCGGTCGGTTTTGGTGACTTCGACGATATTCAGCCATAGAATCAAAATTTTGACTTGAATACCTTTGAGATTCGTAATCCTGTCGTTTGCAATCGTGCCGGTAATCTTCGTCTTGTATTTGAGTGTGAAACCCTTGATGACGAACGTGCAGGTTTTGCTCAGGTCGACGGCGAATTTTCCGGTGCCGGCGTCAATTTCGTAGCCCGTCACGCCTTTGGGCAGCAGCCCGACCGGGAAGTCGTACGTTTGGAGAACTTCGTATGCCGTCGGAGTTTCCGCCGCGGCGGCGGCGGCGGCCGATACGGCGAGGAGAAGGAGGTAATTTGGGAATCGCATGATCGTCGCCGGCGGGTGGCGGAGGGAGGATTGAAGTTGGGGTTTTGTGAGGAAATTGTTCTGAGTATTTGAGGAGCATATTCGAATTCGAGGATATTAATGATTGTTGAGATGTGAGTGGAGTGGAGCCGATTTTGAGTTGGACAAGAACTAATTATAATTCTTTCTACCTAAAGTGTCCAATTTAGTGAAAAATTATGAAAAATTATCTCTCCATTAAAATTAATTTATTTGGTTCGAAATGAAGAAAAATAAATATTTTTAGTGTGTTTGTTTGGGGATTGGATTGGATTTACACTATTTATTCAATTTTTTTCCCCCAAAATATCAAATAAAATACCTATTTTTTATTTTTTATATTATACTAAAAATCAATTTTACATTCAAAAAGTCACATCAACACCTATTTATATCACATCATACAACTATTCAAATTCAAAATTTTTACTATTCAAATCTCAATTCAAAATCCAAACCCCTAAAACAAACACAGTATATTATTGAAAATATAACAGATAGTTGGTGGTATTTTTGAGATTTTAATTGAAAATTAAAGTAAAGGAAAAATAATAATGTAATAAAGTTAGTGATATTTGTTATAAATAAGTGTAGAATAAAAGATAATAATTAAATATCTATTTGTTAATTTTGCCAAAATAAATAATGAGATAAATTTAACGAACGAATTGAAAAAAAAAAAAGAATAAATTTGAAGGCTGATAAAATACTTTTTTTTGTCGTGCACTGACAATATATATATTTTTACTTTTAAAACAAGTAATTTTTTTTAATAACTATTGATACTATTATTTTTTTATATATATAAATATTTACCTATATTTTATTATCGTATTACTCCCTTCGTCCTATGTAATATGAGTCTATTACGGTAGACACAAAAATTTAGGTAAAATATAATTAGTAAGCAATTAAGAAGTGTATTAGTAAAAATAATTATAAATTAAAATTAAGATAAGTAAATAGTTTAATTAAGATTAAAAAAAATTAAATTTTAAATTTTAAAATATGATTAAAGTGTATAATTAATTTTTCAAAAAAAAATATTATAATAAAAATAATTATGATATAATATAATAATTATAAATTTAAATTAAAATAATTAAATAATATAATTAAGATTAAATTATAATTATGAAATTCAAAATATAATTATTGTATAATTATTTTGTTTTAAAAAGAACAATTTATGTCGGACAAATCGAAATAAAATTATTGGACAATTTACATGTGACAAAAAGAGTATTTAATTTTATTACTATAATGGCATATGTCTACTTTTTATTTTTAAACAAATACATATTTTATGTTTGGTAAGAAGAATTATATCGACAATATAAAAATAGTATTAATATTTTATATTGGATTATTGATTTTTTGTAAATAAATAATATATACTATCGCCGTCTGATTACGGAAATATATTTATCTTTTGTGTTATTATACTTAATATTAAAAATATTCTTATATTTATATAATATTTTGTACAAATATATTTCATCAATATTATAATACACTAATATAAGTATTTTGTAATGCCCCATTTATTTGTATTACGTTTTGATATAATAATTAATATTTAAAGATCAAATATGTATAAAAAATTAATATAACCATTAGAGCCGGACGAATGGTATTTTTAATAATATATATACTCCCTCCGTCCATTTTGAGTTAGCACGGAGGAAGTATAGTACTATTTTCATCTAGCTCTAAAGCTCTTATTTATTTTTTTGTATGTTGATATTTGAATATTAATTATTATATCAAAACGTGATCCAAATTAAGAAAAAAATACAAAAATACTTTCACTATTGTATTATAATACTAACAGAAGAATATTTGTACCAAAAAAATTATACAAATATAAAAATATTATTAATGTTAAATATAATAACTGAAAATATAAATGTGACTCAAAAAAGAAAAAATATTATATATTTTTAATAATCTTTATAGAATATAATTCTATTAAAAAACACAAAAAAAATAAACAAACCCACTATATCCAAACTTGACAGCCTACGTCGAAGGGTATTGGCGTCCCGGTTTCACGTTCTTTGTTATATAAGCGGGCCCATTTTATTGGGCCGAATTAGGGTTCTTGTGAGTTTTATTTTTAGCCCACAAAATTGCGGCCCATTTCAACTCTGCAGTATATAAATATGCATATACCTCAAAACCCTAATTTGAAGTCTGTATCGAGGACGAGATCAGCAGTGAGAGAATTTGAGAGCAATGGTGAGCGCCTGTTTCTCTTGATTTGATTTCTCTTTTCGTAATTGAATCCGATTTTGTTTGGTTGTTGTTATCCAGGGTATCGATCTCGTGGCCGGAGGTAAGAGCAAGAAGACCAAGCGCACGGCGCCCAAATCCAACGATATTTATCTCAAGCTCCTTGTCAAGGTCTGTTAGCATCGTAGCTTTCCTCACGAAGATGTCTCTTTTTTATTGGAAATTGAATGATCCGTTGTATTTGTTGCAGCTGTACCGATTTCTGGTGAGGAGGACCGGGAGCAGGTTCAATGCGGTGATACTCAAGAGGCTGTTCATGAGTAGGGTTAATCGTCCCCCGGTTTCCCTCTCACGTCTCATTAAACTCATGAAGGGCAAGGTAATTAATGTTAAAAAAAAAAAAATTAGATATGGTTATGTATACCACTATATTCGCTTGTATATATATTTGAATTTTACTGGTGAAAATTGTGTTTGTCTTAGATGATTAGTCATTGGATATGTGCATAAGCTGACATTTGTGTATGCATAAATTCGCTTAAGAAAATTTGAAGTAATTCTTTATATGGTTTAGGTATTTTCGCCAACCTGCAATTGCAGCTATCTCTGTAGGCTTGATTTTGTTGTGAAATTTGTATTCATCTAACAGGACATGCCTTGTTGAAGGTTTAATTCGTTATTGTGGCTGAATGTCTTGCAGGAGGACAAGATTGCTGTGATAGTTGGAAGTATCACTGATGATTATCGCGTGCATGAAGTTCCTGCTCTCAAAGTCACTGCCTTGAGGTTCACTGAGACAGCCAGGGCTAGAATTGAGAAGGCTGGTGGAGAGTGCTTGACTTTCGATCAGCTTGCTCTAAAGGCTCCCCTTGGACAGAACACGGTAAAGATTTTCTTTCTTTGCTGTTCATTTACAGATTTACACTGATTTTCTTTTAATTTTTGCTCTGTTTGATTTGTTGAATATGTACTAATGTAGCAAATCTTATAACATATACTGCTAAGGATAGAGAGATGTTTATGTGTTACTTTAGTGGTTATCTGATCTCTTGTTTACAAGTAGTAATGCTGAATGTTAGTCCAATTTCATATACTTTTGAATGATTACCTTTTGTAAGCTTTGTGGGTTTCCATTGTCATTATCTTTTGCTAAATCGGATTCATGTTTGATTACTAATACCTTTTACTACCACACCCGTTTCTTACCTGTCAAATTTTGTCGATGGGATAGCATTACACATAGCATTGTTATTGTAGTGTCCTTTCGCTAACTTGCCTTGTTAATCCAGATTCTCTTGAGAGGCTCCCGGAATGCTCGTGAGGCTGTGAAGCATTTTGGTCCTGCTCCTGGTGTCCCACACAGCCACACCAAGCCCTATGTACGATCAAAGGGTAGAAAGTTCGAACGGGCCCGTGGCAGGAGGAACAGCAAGGGCTTCAGGGTTTGAGTGCATCATCGTCATCCCTGTTGTTTGGATTTCGTTTTTGTTCAAACTGGTTTCCATTAGAACTACTACTAGTATTTGAATTGTCGCCAACATCCTGCTTTATTTTCAATCTACACTTTAATATATAGCCATTTTTTGGCTCTATATTTCTTGTGTTGATCATATCATTCTGATAGTTATCTTACCTTTGTTTGGGATCGAGCTCTCAAGAAATTAATTTAATGTTATTAAATTCAAATTTACTATATTGTTATTATTAGTAGTTTAGATTAGGGATGGCAATTGGAGAGGATCTTGTCAGGCTTGAAGTATATTGTATGGGGTGAATTAAGTCATTAAGGGCTTTGCCCTGTAAATTTTGTGTTAAGGGTGTGTTTGTTTGGGAGTTTGGATTTTGGGTTGGGATTTGAATAGTAAAATTTTTGAATTTGAATAGTTGTATGATATGATATAAATAGGTGTTGATGTGAGGTTTTGAATGTAAAATTGATTTTTAATGAAAAATATATGTTTAATTTGATATTTTTGGAAAAAAAAATTGGATGAATAGTATATTTCGCCGAAAATCCTCCAAACAAGCACATCCTAAAATGTCTTTGAATATTTGAGAAGTGTATTTTATTTTATTTTTTTAATTTGGAAAATGTGATGAGATCTAGCATGTGCTTAGAACAAGGTATCCTATTTTGAGTCCCTAGTTTATGGACATCCATCCAATATTATAGTAAATTCTATCTTCTTCATTCTAATTCTAATTCTATTGCTAAATTAAAAACGTGAATAAGGCCTGAATTGAATTGAGTGGCATTACAACAAGACCAGAAATCTAATAATGATGTTGAAGAAACTTGTGTTCCTTTTGGCACTGATGGTTGTCGCCGCGGCCGCCGCCCGGGGGCGGGACATCCAACACCACCAGAAAGAATCTAATCCCTCCACCGATCGCCTCATCGAAATGGCCTGCGCCGACGACTCCAACTGCATCTCCATTGTCGAAACCGCGCCTGAATCTGAAAAGTCTAACGCCACCGCTCTCACCTTCTTCATCCTCAGGTAAAACAACCGGCAAAATTCCTCCAATTGAAACACGGGATTTATTATATTTGTTGACTTTAGAGTATCCGATGCAGTCATTTTTTCTTTTTTATTTTTTATTTTTTTATATCTACTCAACATTTAATTTACCTTTTCCTATGACATTTTTTTTCAACACATTACCCACAATAATTTATTTATTATATATATACTCTATTCGTCTCTTTTATATTTACTTTTTGCGTCATTTTACTTAACGTTAAAAATATTTTTATTTGTATAATTTTTTTTGTACAAATGCCGTTCTTTTAATATTATAAGACACTAATGAAAATATTTTTACAATTTTTTTTTAATTGATATTCAAATATTAACCCACGACAAAAAGTAAATAAGACCTATTGGACGGAGATATTATATATTATTTATTTATTTATACATATTTCTATATAATTTTTATTATCTAATTATAATATTATATTTTCATTTTTAAATATGAATCTATATAAATTTTAATATATTAAAACATAAAATTTACTATTTTAAAAATTAAAATTATTCAAAATAATTTAATATATATTTATATATAATTTATGTTAAATTTAAAATTTTAATTTCTTTGAATTATATCTATTTATTTATTTTTTTAAAGCTAATCAGTTTTGAAAAAATGTAATAAATATATAATAATTGTATTTCTTTGTTAAAGGTAACGAAAAAAAAGAAAAATAAAATTTTTATAATAAAAATTAAAAAGATAATCATAAAGATAATGAATAAAATGATTACAAGATATACTCTTATACAATTAAATAAATAATATACACTTTTCTTTAAATTTAAAATTTTAAGTGAAACTATCATTTTAACATATTACAATATTGACCCGATCGATCGATCGACCATCATTACGTTGCAGGTACGTAGAAGATCAGGCGGTGAACGTGTCGAAACGCGTGAGGGCAGCGAAGGTTTCTTCGCTGCCTCCGATGCTCCAATCGGCGGTGGCGGAGTGCCGGGAGCAGTACAACTCGGTCGACGACTTGATCGACGACGTGGTCGACGCGATGGAGTCCAATTCCCGCAGCGACGCCGTCGAGATCACCAAAGCCGCCATCGGCAACATCGACCAGTGCCACTCCCATCTCGTTGCCAACAACGACGAGGAGCGGGCCGAGGACAAATCCGACGACGACGACAAGGAGGACGTCCAGTGGTCCGCCGATTTGGCCAAGTCTAATCTCCTTCTCAAGAAATTGCTCGGCGCCGCACTCAATATCCTCAAGAAAAATTGAAAAAACAAAAAGACACTAATCCGCATGTAAGAATCGAATATGAAATTCGAAGAGCAGCGGCGGCGGATTATCGTACTATAGAATTTTCATGTCTTAGTTTTTGTTACTGTCTTTCCTAATTTTGATTATTGTTTTAACAATTGTAGTATTGGTTAGATCTAATCCGTTCAATTATGGACACGGTTTAGATTATTGGACGTTCCAGATTTGATTTGATTTGATTGGTTTGTCGTAAGACATGGCAAAGTCAAATATAGCACATATGGGATTTGAATTCAAATATGTCAAAGACAACGCAGCATATTGCTCAGCTGTCATTTTTTTAATCAAATTATTGGGGTTTGTCTCTCATTGCAAAAAACAATAATTATAAAAATAATTTAACTGTAAAATATTATCTCATATTAATAAATTTTTTATTTTTTATTTTCATAATAAAATATTTATTTATTTTTTTAATAATTGTATTTCATACTCAAGTTTACAAATACTCTTGTTATAACTTACAATATATTTCATCCGTTTATTTCAATGGTCTCATTTTCCTTTTTGTCCGTCTCATTTCAATTGACACGCTTATAGTACAATTTACTATATACATATAAAACATAATAACATATAACATAATACATCATATAAGACCACTCAAAATTTCTTTATTTATATTTTTCTTATAAACAAATAAATATTTTTATCTATATTTAAAACTTTATATATATTATTTTATCTTAATTATAAATAAATAGTTATATATATATTTGTTTATTTGTATTATTTAAAATTTTATTATCTTGATATCTATATTACATATTTTATTGATATACTCCTTCTGTCCAAACAAAAAATATACATTTACTTTTGACGCAGAGTTTAAGAAATAATAGTATTTTAATTATAGTAGATAGGTAAAAATAGTGTAATAATATTTTTGTCCTGTAAAGTAAGAGTATTTGTAAAAAAAAAATAAAAATGAGGTATTTAATAAAATCGTTACTTTGTAATTAGACGTCCCAAAATAGAAATATGTATACTTTTAACTGAACTGATGAGCATAATATTTAAAATATTTAAACACGTTTTAAATTCATTTTAATCATATATATATTCAAACTACCAATAATATTATTTATATAAAAGTATACTCCCTCCGTCCCACATATCATGTCAACGCAGTTTTTGTCCGTCCCACACTTGATGTCACTTTCTTTTTTTTGGAAAATAATAACATACTTTAATCTCATTTAAAAATTTTTAATTTATTTTTTTAAAAATTTTAATTAAAATAATTAGTTATCTTAATCTTAATTTATAATTATTTATAATTATTTTCAATAATACTTTCTTAATTATTTACTAATTACACCATGATAATTATTACTTTTATATGTTATTGTAGTCCTTTTCACTTTATTCATAACACATGTCAATATAATATTTACGCATATAAAAAATAAAAATGAATATCTAATTTAATTTAAGGATGAAGTATTAAGCATTTATATTCCCACTTTATCGAAATTTTGGACAGAGCAAATAATGCTCTCTACGGAATTTATTCTTCTTCCAAATAATTGATTTGAATTTTGCGAATGTTTTAAATTACGTTATTAATAAATGCACACCAAATTATTTGGGCTCTCTTACCTCTGCTACAGTATGAAGACCTAACACCCTGCGTTTGTAATTATTAATTTTATTTTGATATTAATTCTATTTTATTTTATTTTTCACTTAGCTAATATATTAATTACCTAAGTTGTACTTTCAAGGATGTAAGCTACTACCCCATAAGCCTACATTGTACGTATAATAAAAAAAAGGTCAGTCGCAGGGACGTACAAGTTTAAAAATAAACAATGTTCAATTTTAGTAATTAGTGCAATAGTCAATAAATTAAATAATTGTTTCCTTTCCTGTGACAAGATATTAGACAAAATAATGCATTATTTTAAAGTTGAATCTGCATGTTACGTCCCCAATTAAAATAATGATAATTGGGCACATCCATGCATGTTAGAAAACTTGGATCTAATTAAAATAAATAATTTAGTCATAAATACGAATGCCATTGACGGTATATAAATACGCGTATGGGTTTAAAGGGCGTACCTGCAACGGCGTCGTTCAGGCATGGCCAAGTTACTGCTGCTTGCCCTAGTTTCTCTTCTGGCCCTTCTACTTTCATTTGTTTTCTTTTCGTCCCCGGGACTTTTCGATAATGTTGCAAAAGCCCGGGAAAAGATTCATGTTTACAGTCACGTCCAGATAGCTGAAACCTCGTGCGAAGGCACGCTTTACAGGGATCTATGCGTTTCAACTGTATCCGTTTTGCCGGAGCTCCGGCGGAAGACGCTGCCGGAGGTCATATCGGCGACGATTAATGTTACAATGAAGGAGGTGTTGAAGACCGCCGATAACTGCAGCAGCCTCCGGCGGAAGCTCATGAGGAAGCTCGAGCCGATCGAGTTGCGAGCCCTAGACGACTGTTTGGAGCTCTTCGTGGATACGGTGGAGGAGCTGAAGAAAATTCTCGTCGGATTATCGGCGAGCAGTTCGCCGGAGAAGTACTACGACGATTTGGTGACCTTGCTGAGCGGCGCGATGACGAATCAGTACACCTGCCTCGACGGATTTGCGTACAGTAAGAACGTTACTAAAAAGCTGATTGAAGGCAGAGTGAAGAAGATCTCACGCCAAATCAGTAATTCGCTCGCCATGGTTAAGAAGCTGAAGAAGAGAAGCGGAAAGAAGAAGCCTACCGGCGAGGAGTTTCCGGAGTACGGCGAGATGAAAAACGGTTACCCGGAGTGGCTGAAGAAGAAGGATCGGAAACTGCTGCAGACGGCGGCGCCGGCGAACCAAACGAAGTTCGATCTGGTTGTTGCGAAAGACGGAAGCGGGAATTTCACCACCATTAATGAAGCGTTGAATGCAGCTCCGAACAACACCAAATCCAGATTCGTGATTTACATTAAAGCAGGAGCGTACTACGAGTACATCGAAGTGGAACGGAAGAAGACGATGCTAATGTTCGTCGGTGACGGAATCGGAAAAACACTTATTAAAGGAAACCGGAGCGTCGTCGACGGCTGGACGACTTTCCGATCGGCGACCGTCGGTAAGATGAATTTACCTAATTACCCTTCAAAATACGCGTAGTAGTTCCTCGAACTGCAGATAAATAAATCCACACCGTCCAATTCCATCGTCGCCGTCAAAACATTGAAACCTGGGCTCTGGAGTCCCGTGCCCTATTAAATATCCTTTTTCCACGTGTGCAATCTTATTCTTTATTCAAATTTGAAAATCCGGAGTCGAGATCCGGGACCACAGTAAAATCTCATCTCACTTTTTATTAATGACGTCGTTTTGGCATTTTGCAGCGGTTGTGGGAAACGGTTTCATAGCAAAGGGCATAACCTTCGAGAACTACGCCGGAGCAAGCAAGCACCAGGCGGTCGCTCTCCGCAGCGGCGCCGATTTCTCGGCGTTCTACAAGTGCAGCTTCATCGGCTACCAGGACACGCTCTACGTCCACTCGCTCCGCCAGTTCTACCGCGAGTGCGACGTCTACGGAACCGTCGATTTCATCTTCGGGAACGCCGCCGTCGTCTTCCAGAGCAGCAATCTCTACGCGCGGAAGCCAGATCCAAATCAGAAGAACATATTCACCGCGCAGGGCAGAGAGGATCCCAATCAGAACACCGGAATCTCCATCCTCAACTGCAAGGTCGCCGCCGCCGCCGATCTCCTCCCTGTTCTCTCGCAATTCAAGACCTACCTAGGTCGGCCATGGAAGAACTATTCCAGAACCGTCTACATGCTGTCGAACATGGAATCGGTGGTGGATCCCAAGGGGTGGTTGGAATGGGACGGCGATTTCGCCCTCAACACGCTCTACTACGGCGAGTATAAGAATCGGGGACCGGGAGCCAACACCACCGCCAGGGTGAGGTGGCCGGGGTATCGTGTCATCAACAGCTCCACAGAAGCGAGCCAGTTCGCCGCCGGAGAGTTTATTCAGGCGAACCAGTGGCTGCCGGCGGCGACGGTTCCGTTCTACGTTAATTTAACCGCAACTGGATGAGTAAGCACTTTGATTCCATTCCGTTCCATTCTATTCAGTTCTGAATTTATTTATATCTGATTAGTTTTATTTCCGTTTTCTAATTTACACAGTACATCAAAATTCGGCCCAAGTAAGATGGTCTAATTAAAAACAGGCCCATTAAGTATACTGGTCTTAGGCCTAATTCTTTTCATTAGATTGGGCCGTAGCCCACTATTTTCTAAATAATTGTTATTAATTTTAGATGATTGATAGTTATAGATTTCCAATACTAATTTAAAAATCAGGGTAATGTGGGGTTCACGAGGTGCCAACTGGGGAGAAATTCTAAACTTAAAAGACTTAATTATTTAATTAATGTATTAGCATCAGATTAGTGACAGACAGCCCTTTTTATTTATTTATTTAAATTTGTTTGTGCACACCATTTTCTTTTTCTGCAGATAGTTAGTCCAAGTTTACAGATAGATTTGGCATGTGTGGCAGTGTATAAATTATAGTGAAATATTTGTTAGGGCAACACATAAGCTGATACTCTTTTGTCAAGGCATTATCTTTACATGCAGAGAACAAGTTTTAATATGAATGGCAAGATTTTTATTTTTATCTTTTTGGTGAATTATGGAGATCAATTATTAGCTTTACACATGTGAGGAGTTATCAGAAGGGCACATGGTATGGGATAGCCATACATTGAAATTCAAGTCTGTGTGAAAAATCCAGAAAATCAGAAAGCAAAGCAGCCCCTCACACAAAAAGAGTTGAGTACAGATGGAATGAATGAATTAGAGTTGGTCCAAAGAGGAAATCTGTGCAAACATAAAAAAGAAATCATCCATCATACTACATTGTACCCCCCACCCCACCCCACCCCCATTGTTGGTTTTAACCATTTTTCATTATTCATTATGGGGTTTCTCTATTTTTATTTATTTATTCAGAAAAGAAAATAACTAGGGTTACTATGTGCATGAGGAGTGAGGTTGTTGAGTAAAGTGCACATTAAGGGCTTTCTTGGCACACTCTATATATATATATATATATATAAAATAATTGTTGTATTTATTTAAAAGTGTGTAACCAAAGAGAGAGATTAAACTGCACCCCATGCTCATCCTCACACACTTTTCTCCGACAGTTTGTCCACTTTTTTACACTTTGACTAATTAATCTTCTTCACTCTTGTTTGTTTTCTCCATTAGGGTTTTCAAAAAGATGAGATTTTTGAATTATAAAGTTCATGGGGCTAGAAAAGAAAGATGTAAGTAATTAGCTTTTAAGGAAGAGGATATGGTGGTATGATGATAGTTAGTTAAAACGTGCTGTGCTTACAGGTAAAAGCTGTGGATCAACAACATTGTTAAATGATTCATCGAATTAACTGTCGTTAGTTAGTTTTATTTCATATCTCTAAAGCAGACGATACTGCTACACTTTATTACTTTCCATCATAAATTAAAAATGTAAATAAATAAATAAATAAATGGGGAGGTATGGGAAGAAGTAGAGAACGAATGAACGAGTGACTAGAGAGCAAAAGTATTTTCTTTCATGTATAGAGAAAAGGACCTTACACATTCCCTGTCCCACCGGAACTGGAAAAGTAACTCGTCCCAGTTTACAATGCTTGACAATAGTAAAAGATGATATATATATATATATAGAGAGAGAGAGAGAGAGAGAAGAGAGAGAGACACTGAGAGGTGGGGTGGGGTGGGGTGGGGGGTGGATGTCTTCTCCAACTGCTGCTGCTATCCAATCCCAATCCGAGAACAGAAGCGAGAACTTGCTCCTTCACGTGACCATTCATACTCATGGTGTTAAAAGTATTAAAATTAAATCCGACCTGAAAAAAATGAACTAATTCGACCATAAAAGTTTTAGGTTCGAGTCGGTAAAAAATCAAGTCGATTCGAACTTAAAATAAATTAAATTAACCGAAAATATAAAAATCGGATCGGGTTTCGTATTTCGTATTTTGAGTTAACCTAGAATTATTTATTACTTTCTCCGTCTTGTCCGCTAAATTTACTCACTTTCTGCTAAATTTAACTTATTATTAATTTTGACAAAGTCAACAAACAAATGAAATATTTAACTATTATTCTCTATTGAAAACTTATTTACAACATTCTATTTCCTCATTTTTTTTAATTCCATAGCAAAAGTATTTTTTTCATTATTTTTAGTCATTATTCTGTCTACTTAATATTACAAATGTCATTTCAATTTTTAATATATTACATAAATTTCATTATTTTTACAAATAGTTTAATTTTTTTACCTTTATTTCTACTATATCTCACTATAATACTAATATTTATAAACTCCATGCAAATGTATAAATAGATATGATGTCATTTCAATTTTTAATATATTACATAAATTTTATTACCTTACGGATAGTTTAATTTTTTTACCTTTATTTCTACTGTATCTCACTGTAATATTAATATTTATAAACTATGTGCAAATGGATAAATAGATATAAGAAGGAAAGAATATTTATTTTTCTTAATCTCTGTATCGGATCCAAATGTTCTAATTTTAGGGATGTTGGAAGTATTATTATTTTAATTTATAATATTTATAAAAAATTAAAATAAAAATCAATTTTTAAGGTTAATTTAACTTTTTAAGTTTTCTATTTGTTTTGTGTGGGATTAGTATTGGATTTGTTCGAGTTTGGTGATCTAAAATTAAATCTGCAGGTTAATCCGAATTTGTAAGATTTCGTGTGTTGTGTTCGAATCTAATGTTTAGTATCAAATTTCATATTTATATCGGATTCGAATGGACAGTTTTTGTGTTAGCAGCCATGATTCAACCAAACACGATCCAAAAATAAGAATTAACAGTATTATTTATTTAGTTATTAATTTTTACAGTTGGTAAAAGCTGTAATAAATGCCTCACCCACATGTTCAAACCTCAGTGAATAAATTATTCCCAATCCCACATCCTCATCTTACTATGATCCCTTGGAAAAAGGAATGTCTTCCTCTCTCTCTCTCTCTCTCTATTAATTAAACATATCTTATCTTAGGGTTACGTTATTAATCCGCTGTTTGGTTATAAATACTGCAGGGGAGGAGGGAGGTTTCTGCCATTCCTGCAGAGGTTGCCAGTTAGTTACATTTTAGTTGTTGGTTTTGTAGTTCTTCCATTGGCAGCTACACTACAAAAATGGCTTCTAGTTTTCCTCCTTCTTCTTCTTCCTCAGGATTGGTAAAAGGCCTCATTTTTCTTGTCTTTCTGGTTTGCTCTCTTCAGCAGGTCTTCTGCAATGGCGTAAACCCCCACCCTGGCAGGCTCAGGAGCCCTAATTTAAAGCACCACCGCAAGCCACGTTTTGCATCCCACAATTACAGGGACGCTCTGTCGAAATCGATCCTTTTTTTCGAGGGGCAGAGGTCAGGGAAGCTCCCACCCAACCAGAGAGTCACTTGGAGGAAAAGCTCTGGCCTTTCTGATGGCGCTGAGCTCCATGTATGTCGTTGTTCTTATTTTGTTTCTTCGTGTAAATGTGGATGAATGAATGTATGAAGTTTAAACTGCAGGTGGATTTGGTGGGAGGGTACTACGATGCAGGGGACAATGTGAAGTTTGGGTTTCCAATGGCGTTCACGACAACAATGCTGTCATGGAGTGTGATCGAGTTCGGGGGGCTTATGAAAGGGGAGCTGGAGAATGCGAAAGGGGCGATCAGATGGGCGACAGACTATCTCCTGAAAGCCACAGCCCGTCGGGACACCATTTTCGTGCAGGTTGGAGATGCAGGCAAGGATCATGCCTGCTGGGAGAGGCCTGAGGACATGGACACTCCGAGGAGTGTGTTTAAGATCGACAAGAACACTCCTGGCACTGAAGTTGCTGCTGAAACTGCTGCAGCTCTTGCTGCTGCTTCTTTGGTGTTCAGGAAATGTGATCCCAAATACTCCAGACTCCTGGCTAACAGGGCTGTTAGGGTCAGTTTGATTGATTAATTAATGATTTGGTGAAGAAGATAATAATGTGGTTGTTTCTTGATTTGGGATTTGGATTTGGATTTGATACAGGTGTTTGAGTTTGCTGATAAGCACAGAGGAGCTTACAGTGTGGGGCTGAAGCAGTTTGTGTGCCCTTATTACTGTGATTACTCTGGCTACCAGGTGAGTGAGTTGTTGATTTTGTTGTTTCTTGAGATTTGGATGATGATGATGATGATGGTGATGATATTTTGTTTTGTTTTATTTTTTTATTTTATGTTTGAAGGATGAGCTGCTGTGGGGGGCTGCCTGGTTACACAGAGCCACCAGGAACCCAACTTATCTTAGCTACATTCAGGCCAATGGACAGACCCTTGGAGCTGATGAATCTGACTACACATTTGGATGGGATAACAAGCATGTTGGTGCTAGGGTTCTTCTCTCCAAGGTCTCTCTCTCTCTCTCTACCCCTTTTCATACTCTACAAGTATATAATTCTTGATTTATTTATTTATAGTATATGATTCTGTTTTTTTGTTGTTCAGGCATTTCTTGTCCAGAATGTCCAGCCTCTCCATGACTACAAATCCCATGCCGATAACTACATCTGCTCTGTCTTCCCAGGAACCCCATTTTCCACTTCTCAATACACACCAGGTAATGTAATAAAAATCATTTCTTGAATAAAAAATTAATTAATTAATTAATTAATAAATTTTATGATCGATGATCAGGCGGGCTTCTGTTCAAAATGGACGACAGCAACATGCAGTACGTGACCTCCACCACATTCCTCCTCCTCACCTACGCCAAATACTTATCCTCCTCCCGGAAAGTCGTCAACTGTGGCGGCGGCGCCGTCGTCACCCCCAAAAAGCTCCGATCATTCGCCAAGAAACAGGTCGACTACCTCCTCGGCGACAACCCCCTCAAAATGTCTTACATGGTCGGCTATGGCCCCAGGTACCCCCTCAGGGTCCACCACCGGGGTTCTTCTCTACCCTCCTTGGCCACCCACCCCGCCAAGATCCAGTGCTCCGCCGGCTTCGCCGTCATGAACTCGCAGTCCCCAAACCCTAATGTCCTCGTCGGCGCCGTCGTCGGCGGCCCCGACAAGAACGACCGGTTCCCCGACCAGCGGTCCGACTACGAGCAATCGGAGCCTGCCACGTATATCAATGCGCCACTCGTTGGGACATTGGCCTATCTTGCCCACTCATTTGGTCAAATTTAATTGACTGAATTGATTGGAAGTTCGAATGGGAAGTGAAATTATGAAAACCCATTTGGATTTGGAGGGTTTTAATTTGCTTAATTAGTTGTTGAGAAAGAGATGCTGAACCGGCCTCGTATGTTTATTTGTGTAAGGGGTTTTAGGCTCTCTATTTGTAGTCTTTTTATTATTATTATTATTATTATTGTTCTTGAAATTGTATGTGTCAAGGGCTATGCACCAATAGTATTTTAATTGGTGTGAAAATTTCGTATGGGTTTTCGTTATTTATTTAATTTACAAATTGGTGGTTGGTTAATTTTAGGATGTCGTGATTTTATTAAGTAAATGATTAAGTGTTTTTGGGGGAGTGGGGAATGATTTTATGGCATTGGCCGTTGGATGAAAATTTGGCGGGTAACGGTGCGAGAAGGAGAAGAGAAACGGTCACGAGCCTAGGGACTATGATCACGTGCAGAGGAGAGAGAGGGAGGGTAGTTATTAGAGAGTCACGTGGTCAAAGGCTGCAGAACTGCAGCAGCGTTATAATGTCAGTTATTGCTGCTGCCGCGGCGCATGCTTCGAGATCCATGGAGCAGAGGTCCTTGGGCCGCATGATTTGGGCTTTGGAGTGGTATCAAAGTGGCTGGGCCGGCCAAAATAAATAAATAAATACATTACACTACTTTACTATTAATTATTTATAATTTTAGATAAATAATACCGTTATTAAAATTGATACGAATAAAAAGAATTGATAAATTATTAAAATGTGGAGGAAGTAATATTTACTACTATTTCATATCTGGAATTTGAATATGTTTCAATTCAAAATATTTTTTTTTGTATTTTTATTTATCTCACTTACAATTACTTTATTCAACTACAAAAATACTAAGAACTCTGGTTAACGCTCGGAAAAATATTATTATTCGTAGAAATTCATCTCAAATTTTTATTATTAGTAGAAACAAGTTGACATAAAAGTACAACTATGATTCATTTATAAATTAATTAGGCATGGATTTTAGATAGAACGATGGCAAAGAAGAAGATGGCGCAGAGCTTGGCAAAGAAGAAGATGGCGCAGAGCTTGGCAAAGGAGCCGCCGAAGAACCAGGAGCAGGACAGAGACGAGAGCGCCGACAGTGCTCCGATCACCACCGTCGCCGTCATCGTCATCGGCTGCCATTTCAGCTTTGCCTGCAACTTCATCATCGTAGACGTAGACGACAACTTGTTCGATACAATGGCCTCTCGTGAATTGTCTTGTTGAACTTTTGCAGCAACCTCATGTCCTGCTTGCTCCATTGATGATGATGATGGGCTGATCTCTGCAACTTCCTCTACTCCGCCGCCGTCAATGGCAGCAATTGACGATGAAGACGATGTGTCCTTCAACTCATCTAGGCTTTCATCTTCTTCTTCGATGGATTCTTCGATTTCATCTTCATCTTCGAGCTCCCGACATTGAGCAATGGCATTTTCTTGAATGTCTTCTTCTTTTACTTCACAATTGACACTCTCCATATCATAGTTATCGATGTTTATGTTATCTTCGCCGCGATTTCCGGCATCATCACAAACTTCTTGTTTCTCAACTAATTCGTCGTCGTTCCATCCCACCAAATCTCCGTGACTTACTTCAATTACTTCTTCTTCTTCTTCATCTTCGCCGTCGCCGGACATGGCCGGTGGATCAGCTCCTTCTCCATCTTCACAATTCTCAGTTTTGTTCTCAATGGCTTCTCTAACTTTGTCATCTTCCATGTTCAAATTCTTGTCACTCTCCAAACAATCATCACTATCAATTACTACAAGGGCTCTTTGATCAACAGCAATGGCTGCTGCCTCAGATTTCTCTCTATGATCGCCAACACTTTCCTCTGTAATAACTTCATCAAAGCTCTTGTTTTCTTCTGTGGATTCGTAGGAGTCATCATCCTGTTTCACTAATGGAATTTCGATTTCGATCTCACCTTCTTCAACATCCTGTTTCAGCAATGGAATTTCCATTTCGATTTCACCTTCATCGTCCTGTCTCTGTAATGGAATTTCCATTTCGATTTCACCTTCTTCGACATCCTGTTTCGATAATGGAATTTCCATTTCGATTTCACCTTCATCATCCTGTTTCACTAATGGAATTTCAGGTTCGGGTTCGATTTCACCTTCAAGAATTGAGTCTCCATGCTCGCTCAATAAAGGAAAAACCTTCTCCCCTGAAACGACGCCGTTTTCAAGCACTGTTCCGCCATTAACGTCGACCTTTGAGTTTTCCACTTCCTGCTCCTGAGGGAGGCAATCAAAATTGAATCCAATTCTGTAAATCAACGATTTTCTCTATAACCACACAAGTACAATCAATTCTGAATTAATTACCAGATGCGTCGAGCTGTCGGTAGTATTCTCCGGCGGCGGCTCAGCCTGGTCTGTCTCTCCTCTGCGGCGGTTCCAACGTCAGTCCGACAACAATCAACTTCACACAACAACAATTATTCTTACAGAATCGAAACAGAGCGAAAATCGACGAACCTGGAAGGAAGTTCGTCTGAATCTGAGGACTTATCCAGAAAAACCGAGTTGCGACCACCGTCCGGCGAGCCCTTACTCCGACAGCGGCGACGGCGGTCCTTGCCGAAGCTCCAGCCCTTATTCCTGACGAAAATTGACACAAAGGCGGCGGTGGCCAACGCGCCGCCCAACAGAAACACAGCTCCAATGTTTGTACCGCCGCCGATTCTCACCGCCGGTTTCTTCCTCCGGCCAATTTCCGGCGAATTCTTGTGGTCCTCCATTAATGGCGTTTCTTGTGGAGGCAGTAGAGTAGTCTAGTATAGTCTAGTCTGTTGTTGTGTAGTTAATGCGGGATGGTTCCATGTCAGTGTCTCGTCTGGTCTCGTCTCGTCTCCTCCAACCTCTCTCCCCATTTTTAATTGAACAATAATTTTGTCTTTAAGAGCACCTGGAACGGAGCATCTCCACTCTCTAGATGCGCCACCTCAGAATTAGAAAGAAAGGAAAAAAAAAAAAAAAAAAAAAAAAAAACATTCATCTCGTAAGCATGTTTGCAAATATAAATACGTACTAGCTAGTCCCGTCAACCTATTTTTTTTTATGTCTCATAGATGATCGCTTTTTTATTTTTATTTTAGTAAATTTATCAATTTAAGCATTCTTAACAATATAAATCAATTTATAAAACTAATTTATAGTAATAAATAAATAAATAAATATTTATTTATTTATTTATTTATTTGTATTATATAAAATTTTATTGTCTCTAAAATAATATTTTTTAAAAATATTTAAAATATCAACAACATTACACATATAAAAAATAATAAAATATTATCATAAATTATTATTAATAATTTAATAACCTACTCTACATAAAATTCTGTGTCCTTAACAAAAGGGCTCATGTTTCGCAGCAGGACGGAGGGAGTATTAATGTGATGTTTTAAATTTAAAATTAAATTTTAATGAAATATAATAAATAAAAAAATAGGTATTTAATTTGATATTTTTGGAGAAATTTTTTTTTTGAATTATTAAAATTATAATCAAAATTTCACAAAAAAAAATACTTTGTTTTTGGCATGTTTTTTATATTAATCTGGACATAATATATAATATATGCATAATATAATATTATATGTATATAAATTATAATTTTATACTCTTTTCGTCCTATAGTGTTCGGTTACAGTAGACAAAAAAATTTAAAATAAGTATAATTAAAAATATAATAGTGAAAATAATTATCTTATAATATAAATAATTATATATTAAAATTACAAAAATAAAATTAAAAAAATTTAAAATAAAATTAAAATATGTAATTAAATTTCTAAAAATGAAAGTGATATGAAATGTGAGACGAACAAAAATATCAATGTAGATATAGTAGGTGAGACGAGGGAGTAATATTTTTATTCTAACATATGACACATTGAATATGTTTTATTAATTTAAATTTATAATATTATTGATGTATTTTTTCAACAATAAAAAGTAAAATTCGAAAATAGAGAAATATCTTCGAATTTGATAGATGAGTGCCTGAGATTAGAGATCTCTAAACACGGTAGAATACATAAAATAAAATAGGAAAAATAACAATAAAGATTGGAAAATAAAGTGGTGATCCCCAAAAGCAATTCTCTTGAATTTGATGTCGATTGAAGATGCTTTTTTAGGTCAAAAACAGACCTTTAAATAATCCCTTAAAGAAGCGGTTTGAACCACCATTTGGTCGGTTACAGCAACTGCTGTCAACCGTCCACCAAGTTCTCCTCTGTTGACACGTATTACAACTTCCTCCAACCGCCCCAGGACTGCCTCTCACGACTTGAACTGTCCTAGAAGTGCCTTTTGTCCGACCTGCACATCCACTGCCATATCCCTTCTTGCCCGACTTCGTTTCGTCCGACCTCTGTGCCACCCGACCAAGACCAATCCAGAGACTAATTGGTCGCTAGACCAAACGATTCCTTGGCCGCCCCGTCAAGCGACCACAATCTGGTCTCTTGTACGACCACGTATCGTTCGTCTAATTCTTCTTCGCCCAACCTCACTTGGTCCGAACTCCGCAACAACCAACTGTGGTCCCGACCACGAACCAACCGACCTCGGTCCCGACTGCAGACCAACCAACTGTGGTTCCGACTACAGAGCAACCGACTGTGGTCCCGACCACGGACCAACCGACCTCGGTCCCGACTGCAGACCAACCAACTGTGGTCCCGACCACAGAGCAACCGACCGGCTCTATTTGTCTTATCTCCTTAGATGGACAGACTGTTCTCTTGACAAACCTTCGCGTCTGTCCATACTTCTTCGTTGCCCGACCTTCCTCTTGACAGACCTCCGCGTCTGTCCGACTTCTTTTTTCTCGACTTCTAGGCCGTTTGGCTTATATCCAGACTCATCCAGAATCCTACTGCCATTATTTATTATTATTATTATTTTTTGTGTTCAACAAATATATAATACAAATATTAATTAAATTTATTAAACAAATAAATATTAAAATAATTTCATAATAAAATTAAAAAGATTCAAAATAAATTAAAATTAAACTAAATTAAATAGTAAATAATATAATTTTTTTTAATTTCCATAAATTATTAATAAATTAAAATAATGAAAAAAAAAGAATTAATTACATACAAAATAAAGATATAATTAAAGAATAATATGGATATATATAAATATGACAGTAAAAATTAATGAAAAATTTGGAATTGATTTTTGTTTTTAGTTTTTTTAAAAAAAAACTGTGAATATAAAATAAAAGTGTGTGCGAAAGTGGTTGTTGTCTGAAAATTATTCACGTGTCTCGCGAGGTCGTGTGGACCCTGCACCATGGATGGCCTGCATTTGTCTGGTGTTCTGGTCCCGGGTGCTGGCAGAAAACCGATTGTGTGCCCTCCCTTTCACGGCATCAAACCGATTGTGATGCCCCCTTTCACAGGATGGAGTTTTCAACGCAGCGACAGGCTACAGTGTTCAGATAACTGTGCTATTTATTTATTTATAGTTTGTTTCTTTTACTTAAAGTCTTAAAAAAAATATAGTTTGATTTTGGCATTAAAAAAATATATATATTTAAAAAAAATACAAAGTCGAAACATACACTTAGTTTTATATTGAAAACAACGTTGATCAGGTTATGTAGATTGGGTTTATTAACATTGTTCTACCTACTTCTATATTTTAGATTTTTATATTCTAAATAAACTAAATTGCACAAAATAATTCACATGTGTTTTCACAATATTACGTTAAATTTTTTATTGTTGGAATATATGATACCATATCTTTAAAATAACGTTAAACTTTCGTGGTTTCATAGATTCTATGTCTAATCCTCTTGGCGGTTCTTATTTAACGGTATTTGATTTAAATGCGCTCAAACTGTGAATAAATTTTAGAATCTCAATTTTTAAATCTCTAAAATTACAAATATATTTATTTTTCTTATATTTATCCAAAAAAAAAGTAAAAATAATTTTTTAAAACCTGAAAAAAATAATTTTTTTTTTAGGTTTAATATAAGAAAAAGAATATATTTGTAATTTTAAGGGTTTATAAATTGAGATTTTAAAATTTATTCGCAGTTTGGGCTTTTTTAGGTCAAATACCGTTAAATAAGGACCGTAAAGAGGGTTAGACACAGAATTTATGAAACTACGAGGGAATTTAACGCAGTTTTAGAAGTATATGAAATTTGTCGCAATTTCATGAAACTACACGTAGGTTTTGTGCAATTTAGTCTTTTAGATATAACGAAATACTCCATCCGTCCCATATTTATCTATCTATTTGTTTTTTTTACGAAATTTTAGAAATATTAATATTGAATTTAGATATAATAGAAATAAATTTAAAAAGACTAAACTAACTTTATTAATATTGTATGATATAAAAATAATGACATTTGTGTTATATATTGTAAATTGAAAGGATACTTGTAATGCTAGGTAAATAGTACAATTATTAAAATATGAAATGAATACTTTGTTATGAGACATACCAAAATAAAAAAAAAAAAAGATAGATCTTTAGGGGATAGAGGAAGTACAATATTCCAATGTAACATATATTAGGATATATTTCTTTTGATTGATTTGGAAATAATTTAGTTTGAATTTGGTGTTAAAACAATGTATGATGAGATGTTTTGTTAAAAACTATATATATTTTTTGAGAAAAACAGAATCCGAATAGTAAAAACATGACGTGTTGAGACAAATAATAATAAAAAAAACTATTAATTTTTACAATTGTTTTCGCACAACAATGAACAATCCACACATAGAACATACTATTCATTTACAATAATGTTTTTTTTTTTAAAGAAAAATTAGATTTAATAAATATATTTTATAAAATATTACTCCATTCGTCCCGGCTATGACGTACGCGGGTCGGATCCGATCTAGATCCGGATCTGCCCTTTTAATTTGGTTCCCAGATTAGGTCTTGGGTTGATCGGAACTTGAAAATCATGGATCGGATCTGGATTTAGTGCCGGGTCCAATACCCTTAGACCAAGTTTAAGATAATTTGAAAAAAATTTAAAAAAAACTGCGGGTCTTGCAGCAACGTGTTGTATTTGTTTGGATGAAATGAATTAGGGCATAAATTTTAGGTATATAAAATATGATATAAATATTTAATTATGTAATAAAATATATAATTATATAATAAATAATAATATATAATATATAGTATCAGATTCAAGTCGATTCCGGATCGAAACCATAAATATCGGATCCAAGTTCAATTGAGTTTCGGATCTATGAAATTTATACCGGATCCGGATCGGATCCGGTCTGGATCGGATGCAATTGACAGCCCTAGTCCCGATTACCGTGTTCTTTTTACTGTAAAGACGAGAATTTAAGAGAGATATAATTAGTAAATAATAAAAATATATTAGTAAAAATAATTATCGTATAATAAAAATAATTTTTTATATTAATATTAAAATAACTAATTAGTATAGTTAAAATTAAAATTTTTAAAATAAGATTAAAGTTATAATTCTTTTCAAAAAAGAAAAGTTACAGAATAAATGAGACAAACAAAAATAAAAAGGTGGATACGGTAAGTGAGACGGACGGAGTACATAAATACTACTCCCTTTAAATTGGATATAGTGTCATGATTAGTATAGATATTATGGGTTTTTTCCTTTATGTTGGGTTTGGAAAGATTTGGTTTGAGGTTGGGTTGAATTTGAAATTTTTAGGAATTTTTAGGAATTTTGGGAATCCGCGTTCCTTTGTTGTAGTAGGTTTATGTTTGGATTTAGTGGATTTTGTTGAGTAGTGATGTGATATTCCTTTGTTGTAGTAGGTTTATGTTTGGATTTAGTGGATTTTGTTGAGTAGTGATGTGATAGGTAATGATTGCAGTGATGTGATTATTAATTTAGTTTAATAAATTAATTTATACTCCGTCAATTCCACTTGTTATGTCCACCTTTT